TTTGAGAAAGGCGGGGCATAGAGGACCTACAATAATGTACAGTATTTGAAAAATAATGTGTTTTTTGAACATTAAAGCATGTCAACATATTCTGTTACACCAAATACACCAAATAATGATCTTTAAAAATCATATGACCCCTTTAATAATTAATAAACAATATTTGTTTTAGAAGTAACATAATAGTAAACATAACAATACACATAACAGCAACTGAAAAGTGCTATTTTGATGGTTAACTGTGGCACTCACTGTATTGGCCGCTGCACAGCCAGCCTGTCACGGCTATAGTGAGATGAAGATGCTTTCCAGAACTCATCGGAAGAAACTCAAACTCCTCTATAGCGCCGACACGCTTGTTCATTTTATAGCCTGTGTAAAATGAGTAAATATACCTTCAGGTATCCTCATACATATAAACTAAGTGAACATAAACATAGAGAGGAAACGGAAAACTTGATCTGCAAACAGAAATGAAGAGAGGCAGACGCACAGATAAACTGCATTTGAAGAAACACCAAGCATCTCCAATAACCTTGAGCTCAATTCACTTTGAATGGCAGCTGACGATGTGCTCTGAAAGCAGGCTTATAGAAAATTCTACTCAAACCAGAAAACGGACTGTAACTTTATCATCATTGTCAGTCTGCTAATTCATCTGCACACCTATCAATCCTGTAACGCAGTCTAGTGATTCAACAAGAATCATGCAAGAAATCATATAAATCACTTGCCCTCCAGGAAGAACAGAACCTTACATAGCAACACTGCATTAAAGTTGTGTAAATGCAATAGATAAATAATGCAATAAGCCATGAGAGGCTTATAGTAATTTTACCATGAACACAAATGATAAACATAAATGATAAAGTACACCAAAGTTCAATAAATAATTCATTTGATAATAACAGACTTATTATTATAAAGTTTTTCCGCAATATAATATTTATTATTGTTATAATTTTTTTATTATCAGTAGTGCTGTCAAATCGATTAATCGCATCCAAAATAAAAGTTTGTGTTTACATAATATGTCTGTGTGCTGTGTATTTTTATATGTATATATAAATACACACACATACATGTATAAATGTAAGAAATATTTACATGTGTATATATTCATAATTATGTATGATTTACATTATATATAAATATATATATTTCATTTAATTCTTAAATATATACACGTATGTGTGTGTATTTATATATACATATAAATATACACAGCACACACACATATATTATGTAAACACAAATTACGCGATTAATCGATTTGACAGCACTAATTATCAGCATAAACAAGCTTCAAATAGGTCAGCTAGCTCACCTGTTAACCCGGCCCCTGCGGCTCCAAACAAGGAAGCCATGATGGCGATGCCCGTGGCTGATCCCAGCACAGCGGCTCCACCCGCTCCTAGCACTGCTCCTGCCCCAGCAGCCACCAGAGGAGCCGCCAGCCCTCCTGTAACACCTGATAAAAACACATACATTATCATGAACACCAGACAAATGAAACTAAATCTCATCACACCAGTGCTGGGCATGCTCTAGTCATATTTCACCTCAAAATTAACAGAAAGAACTAAGAGATAAAACATTTTAAGTAAGTAATTTAATCATCTAAAATATTAATGTAAATAAAAAAATAATACAAATAAAATAATTGTTTAGCTTAAAGTTTTTTTTTTAAATTCTGATTGTTTTTATTAAAATTAAGCATATTTCCCTTCAAATTATCATAATCATATCATAAACACAAAAATTCTTCAAAATTATTTAAATTGTGAATTATTTATATATCATGGTAGTATTTTCTGTATTTGAATTAATTCATTAATTTAACCTATGAATGAATATCGTTTTAATATAAACAAACAAACATCACAAATAAAACATCTGGATGCATTACAGTAATGAAAGTTTTTAAATATAAATATAAATATATATAATTTTAATTTAAATAAATAATAATAATAAAATCACAATTGAAACATCCTGATGCATTACAGTAATGAAATGTTTAAAATATAAATAATAAATATATATTTAATTAAAATAATACTACTAATAATATTAATAATAACAGTCACAAATAAAATATTATCTTACAGTACACTTTATGGTAGTTAAATTGTTTAAATGAACATTATGGTAGTTAAATTGCTTAAATATAAATTAAATACATATTTATTATAAATAAATGCATTAAAGTAAGGAAAATGTGGTTTTCAATGTCCTAAAAAAAATACAAATCTTTAAAAAAAAAAAAGCATGAAAGGCTTAATTTTCTTAAATGAATTTTTACAAATAAACAAACAAACAAATAGGCATTATTAATGTTCTCATGAACTTTTCACTGACATTCACCTTGATGAGACCAATGTAGTTTAAAACATACGTCCTGTGGCATTTAGACTCACCAATTACTGTTCCTCCACCCACAGTGGCAAGTCCGATGAGCAGGTACCGGCGCAATTTACGACCTCTCTCTTTCTTCTGCCTTCCTGATGACTCTTCTCTGTTGAGAGAATGTCAATTTGATTCATAACATGCTCACTGGAGCTGCTGAAAGCTCTGAGGTCTTGTTCATTGTCAACTGAATTCTATTAGAAACTAAAACTAACATAAACACTCACGGATGTGCACGGTCCACATCACATGCAGAAGAGAACACATTAACAGACAGAAATCAGCAAACAGATTCAGGTTTGTTCCTCATGTCAAAATTTTTACAGCACTTTCACTGTTTCACAATGATATTGATTGTGCCCCTGTATTGACTTTTCTTTGTGAATCTGCAGATGGCTCTACGTGGGCTTTGTGGAAATAATCTCTTGTAAATGATCCATCCTACAGCGAAACCAGTGCGTGTTTTACATGTTGATAACCCCCCCCCAAAATCCCATAAAGGAGTTTCACTCACTCGCTCTCCTCTCCTGACTCTCTCAATTTCTCTCCAAGAGTCTCTTCAAAATCCTCCAGCTGCTGTTGGGTCACACGCAGCAGACAGCTGACATGTCGGATCAGAACTCGAGCCCTGGCATCATAATGTCCTACATGAGAAGAATCAAAAAATGGTTATTACATGGAAAACAAGATTGGAGGAAGAATAATCAATCTCACAGAAAAATGTCTAGTTCATACTTTACCATAAAAAAATCAAAAGAAAAAACAATCTTGCATACAGAAAATAAAGAGTTTTAGAAGCATTTCGTCAACTCTATTTTTATAGCTCTTAATACAATAGAGATCGTTTCAAAAAAGCTTAACAGTATTAAATAGGAAAGTAACGGAGTCAATGATGCAAACTTCAAATATGAGGCAAATCCCAATTTTTATTTTTAATATAAATGAATCATATAAATAAAATTAACAATTACAGTAATTAACTTTTTTTTTGTAAATAAATATATTTAATTAAAATAAATAAAACCCAGACAAATTATGGTATTGGACATTTGGGGGACAATTTTAAAAAAGCCTGAAAAGCTTTTTTTTTTTATAAACAGTTTTTAAAAAATATAATAAATAAATACACCTCTTAAAAATAAGCTTTATTTTCTTTATGCATGTTTTCACAGACTTTTCATTGACATTCTGGACCAATGTAGATTAAAACACAGTTAAGATGTTTTGTACATTATTAAAAGTAAAATGCAATGTAATTTTTTCTCACATTTACATAAATAATAAATAGTATAAATTAACATAGTAGAATAAATAATATTGTAAAGTATATTTTTTAAATTTAAATAATTTAAAATTATGAATTTCATGTTTTCTTTTCATTGCAGTAACAAGCATTGGGATGTGAATTTGCTTAATTGTTTAGAAATTAAAATGACAATGCAAAATATGTTAACAGTATTCATGTTCTTCATGCAAAATATAATATGAAATAGGCATTTCTTTGTGAGATTCAATTGTATTATTTATTATTTTAAATAATAAATTGTTTATTTTTAGGCACGCCATTGCAAAAAAGACCAGCTAATTAATCGTGAAACATCAGCTCACCATCTTTGACCGAGAATGACACAAGATCCTGAAAAACAAAACAGAAAGTCACAAACACGAGCATCTATATATATGTTAATGCAGTCGTCCAGCTGGGTTAATGTCAGACGAGTACCTGAGTGATGAGTAAAGCTCCGGCTCTGAGCAGCGGCTCCGCATGCAAGATGGACAGGAAGGTGTCAGTGCCTTCGAACCCGAGCCCTGCCAGGAACGCTTGCATAACAGGCATGACCGACTCATCAAGATCCAGCCACTGAACAAGACCCTGCAGATACATCTCACGAAAACATCTGCATTGAGAAAATATCACAGTGAAGTTTCACAAACCCAAAACATCTGAACATTTTTCTAAGAAATTAAATGTTAATATTCAGCATAGACTCATTAAACCAAAAGTGACAGTAAAGACATTCATAATGTTACAGAAGAGTTCTATTTCAAATAATAGATGTTCTTTTGAACTTTTTATTCATCAAAGAATCCTGAAAAAAGCAGCAAATCAGCATATTAGAATGATCATTTGGATCATGTGACCTAAACACTGAAGTGATGATGCTGAAAATACAGCTTTGCATCACAGAAATAAAATACACTTTAAAATGTATTCAAATAAAAACCACTTATTTTAGACTGCAAGAATATTTCACAATTTTACTGTTATTACTGTATTTTTAAATATTTTTGATGCAGCCTTGGTGTGCATAAGATACTTTTTTTAACGCTAATGTCTATTAGTAAACAGCACATTAAAGTGATATTACTATTATACATATTTTTTTTTACTTTTGCTCAGGTCCCTGAAACAGCTGGCCCAAAGACACTCCACATAACCCAGCGTACGCAAAGCGCCCTGGTTCACTCAGCTGTCGACCAAACACTTTCTCTGCTGGTGACTGATCATGCTTCTGTCCTCCTGGGTCTGTAACAATAAAATGACTAAATGCAAAATCAAAAAATTTACAAAGTTCCTGTGAAGAATGTGCGAGTGTTCAATAACAGATACACACAGACTTTGTCACATCAAACCTAGTCCTCCACATCTACATTACACGCTTATTACAGGGGTCCAAGTAGAAAAAGCTTCTGACATTAGTTCAGTTTTATGACCTTATTTTGTTTCTTGAAGAACAAATCTGCCTTTTGGCCTGGGTCTGTAACAATAAAATGACTAAATGCAAAATCAAAAAATTTACAAAGTTCCTGTGAAGAATGTGCGAGTGTTCAATAACAGATACACACAGACTTTGTCACATCAAACCTAGTCCTCCACATCTACAGTACACGCTTATTACAGGGGTCCAAGTAGAAAAAGCTTCTGACATTCGTTCAATTTTATGACCTTATTTTGTTTCTTGAAGAACAAATCTGCCTTTTGGACCCAATGTCTGCTTTTTGTGCTTTTGAAAGTTGAATATTTGTGGTTGAAAGGGCTTCCAGATCAAACTTCATTTGCATGTTTTCTGATATCGGAGGCCAAACAAAACTTTCTACTTTGCATAAGATATTTGCACAAACATGTGACACTTTATGACACTACAACATGATGCGTAATGCTTTAATAATACAGCATATGTAGTACTCATTGGTCTCGAGATCATATGAAGTCCCTGAAAATACATTGAAAAATATGCAATGTGTTATTATCTAACACAAAATGTCCCTTGTTTATCCAAAACATGTTTAAGGCCTCTCGACCTTTTCCTGCATCTGCGATAAAAACCCAGAAATGAGCGAGCAGCTGCTGGACACGTATGTCAACAACATTAATATCTCTATTTCTAAACATTAAGTCTCATCATGAGAATGAAATACAATACAACGTAACCAACAATAAATAATTAATTCTCTCAAAATAAGAAAACCAAAGACTCTTATTTTGTTGTCATCTGTTGGGCAAAACTAAAATCCTTTCAAAAGTCCTCAAATAAACTCGCACTCTTAGTGAAGTCTATAAATACCTGGAGTTAACGTCGGCTCCTCGTTGTTGTTAGGTGTTGTTTCCATTGGTTTATCCTCACAATAAGTTACAGATTTGTTCTCTCCATGGAGGAAAGTTGTTACTTTGTTGTCGTGACAGATGAAAGTTCAGCCCTAAGTTGTTCTTGTATGCAGCAGCGCCCTCTGTCCATCAAATCAGTTCGCGAATAACGGAGGACTGGCTAATGAATATTAATCACGCAACGTCACGCTCGCCCAGTTGGCTTTACCGATTGGCTGAACTGCTTGGTTTGGCGTATGAATATTAATAACGCAACGTGACAGTATCGGAATGTTACTTGGCAACTTCACCACGACTTGATTTAAAAGTCAAAATAGCAATTTTGCCTCATGACGATTTTAGATTTATTTGAAACGTTCTACAGAAGGCTAATTATAATTTATGCTATTAAATGTTGACGTTTTGCCCGAAAAATGACATCAATGTTGCTCTTGTGTTTTAGCATTTCTAGCCGCTGGCTATAAATATTGTGGAATATTAATATTAATTAGGACCGTGACTTGAGGCTCCAAGAAGGTGTAGCAAGTAAAGGCAGCATAACTTAATTAATATTCAAAAGCTGAGTCTTCTTAGAAGGATCAATAATTTGAACATATAACATGTATAAAGTAATTTTTAGGGGGTTTTAAATTATTTTAAATGATTTTAGGTTTATGTGATGCTGTGAGGAAGATTTATGTTATTAATTGTTCATGTTGTGCCTCATAAATATCATCAGTTGTTCTCTTAGTGTTGTACGGGGAAAAGAGACTGAATATAAATACATAAACATGCCCTATAGAAATATTGCCTTTTTTTTTGTTGGCCAGCAGAAGGCAGCAGAGACCCATATAAAACTGCCACTATATAAAACCTATGTTGGATACAGAGTTTAAACAATCTCACAGATACACAGATTTTATTGTATGTATTTGTAAGTTTGATAAATGTGATAAAAATGACAAAAAAATGTTTGTGTGACACACACATCACCTACATATATACATATATGCACTAAACAACAAATAAGTAAATAAATACATAAATGTAGTAATGGAAAATAATATTTGAACACTTTCTGGCTGATGTTAAACTAAACAAACAAACAAAATAAATAAATACAATTTTATAATGTAATTATATAACATTTTAACTAAATAACTATATATATATATATATTGGCCATCTTTTTTAAATTAAACATGATTGACTATAGCAATTTGTCTGAGTTACATAATTCGCATTGCCTAATGACTCTCTTTTTGACACCTCCTGGTATTTTTAGATTCATTCTGATTCTTATCGTGTGTATTATTATCTTGATCGCTCCTGCTGTTATATAAGGTCTATGAGCTGCTGTATCTTGTTGCTCTTTCCACTAAAAGCCCATACTTGGGATGATCCAGGAGAATAGTTTGTGAAATGCATGATTACATAATTTTCTAAAACCAAAAAATCATATCTATTGTTTGAGCAACAATCTCCTTAGAGCAATAACTATATATGAATGTGTCTTTACAGCTTTACAAGTCTGTACATAGAATCATGGACATGTCTATTCATATTCTTTTCACAAGGATTAACTGGAAAATATGAAACTGATATTCACAACAAGAGTATATGTGTGTGCATTTGCACATATCTCCTGTCTTTGTGTGTCACATCTGTATTTTCTCTCCTGTCTTCTTTTCTTTCTGTGCCTGGTACCATCTCTTTACAGAGGTTATGAGGTCAAGATTTCAAGAAAGGAGAAAAGAGAGGAAGAACTAGCAGTCGACGTTACTTAATACAAACCCTGCTCTTTCCTTCATGTAAATAAATGTCAGTGAAGAATCTTACTTTGTGTTTGAGGTCAAAACATCCTGTTCATACACCGGTGTGCATTACAGATGTCTTTATTAGTGCTTCTTTCTCCATTTCCACTTGAGAGGCTCACATGCAACCTGCAAGAGAGATACAGAGCACATGCAGAAACATCATCAGCCTTAACAGACCACAAGCAAATGTCATTTTTTTCCATTTTCACTTAATGTAAAACCATCTGTGGTGCAACACACCCAGAATTCATAACCCATAGAAACCGAAAAATCCAAACAGAGATTCACAAAGCTCTCTAAATTAAAAACATTTGCAGAAAACAGAGATGATAGATTGAATAAATTACAATAACAACAATAATATCTATTAAATATATATTACTATTTACTACTAATAAAAAATATTTAATATACTCTATTTATAATCAATCTTTTATTATTTTTATCTATTGTTTTATGATGTACAACTACAAAAAATGAATAAAAATGTAAATAAATAAAAACAACTGTTTTGTATAAATTCTGTATAAATCTACTGTATAAATATATACAAGTTGTATTATGCAAAATAAATAAATAAATAAAGTAAATCATATTTGAACACGTTCAGGTTTTAGGTCAAATCTTATGGAAAAAAACTGTAAATATATATATAGCAGTATTTGTTATGGTGTTGAACTGAGCAATAAATAAGTAAATAAATAAATAAAAATAAAGTAAATAATATTTGAGCAAACTTTACAATAAATACATCTGTAAAAAAAATATACATATGTAACTAAAGTAATTAAATAATACAATTGTAATAGTAAATATTATTCAAACACTTTCTGGTTTCATGGCAAATCTTATGGAAAAACTATAAATGCATAAAGCTGTATTGTTTTATGATATTAAAGTGAACAAACAAACAACAAATAAATAGTATTTGAACACTGTAGTTACAATTCAAATCGTATGGAAAGACTATAAATATATAAAGCTGTTTGTTTTATGATGTTAAACTGAACAATAGCTAACTAACTAACTAAATAATTAACTAGTAATAGCAAATAGTATTGGAACACTTTTCTAGTCAAATCTTATGCAAAATGTCCATTTATTTTTATGAATCTTATCTTTTTGGCTCACTTTGGCATTGTTAGTTTATCTTAGCTTGTTTAGTTGAGCTTATCGTAGTTAAGTGAGATCCTTTTCTTTTCTCAGATTTTCAAATGTAACTGTTTAGACAGACAGACTGTGGTTTGGGGTCAGTGACGGACAGTGTTACGGCTCCTCACCTACTCCATCTCATTCCCATCAGCCTGACAAGATGCCAACGACACGCTCGGTCGCACTTGCATTCAACCAAGAGAACAGAAAAGCAAATGCGAACAGAAGAAAGGTGCTAAAGCTGTTTGTTCAAAGCTAAAAGTGCATTGGGTTTACCGTCATCTCCCTGTCATCAAGAGCTCCTCACACGACCTAAGACACACAGACACACACTTATAAAGATCTGTCCTAGCAACCATTGTTCTACAATAGGTGTGTGTTTTCTGCACATCCGCAGCCAAATCTGTCGAGACAGGCCCTCGCAGCAAAGGGGGATTCTTGGGGAATTTGGCACCCAATCAAAGGCATTATAAACTAAATACACCCTCTTGACATCCGCTTAGTCAGATAAAGTAAACACACTAAAAAGATCATTTGTGGCACACAAACATGCTCTCAAAATAACTACCGGCCTTGTACCAAACACCAAAGCAACATATCAAGCCATAAGGCCTGTTTGGCTTCCTTGCGCATTTGTAGAAAGCCGATACGGAGCGAGTTTTTTGTGTGATTGTGTATACGTGTGTTTCTATGGAAAAAGGCAGCTGGACAGTCTTTTGGGAATGATGGGGGGGTGGGGAGTGGAAGAATAGGTCATGATACGTCTAAGGAGAAATATAAAAGAAAACCGCAGCTGTATAAGACTGTGGCCAAGATGGGGGAAATGCAAAATGGCATTGAAACGGATGACAACATGTGAGGAACTAATGATGACTTAGGGGAATGGGAAGAACGCAGAGTAAAAAATTGGGTTCCCATCATAAATGTTTTGCACTGAAACACACAGCGTCTCCCTGACATGTTGCTTCCAACACTAACTGTGGTTACTGAAACCACGCCTTCTTTCTTTGCGAGCACATTTGGGCACATTATGCAAATATTTCCACATAGTGAAGTAGATATGTGGGGGCGTGTTAGAACGAGCCGTTTTAGGGGGGCGTGGCAGAGTCTTAACTTTGATAAAGAATATCTCTTTGGTTTTGAGACTTTAGTCTTTGCAACTTCAGGGATCTTATCTATGCACAATCAGCTTGTAACACTCCAAAGAGAAAGGAAAACTTGAAATCGCATCATATGACCCTTTTAAGTGTTCTTCTAGACAGATCAGTGAGATTAAATGGAGACTTTAAATGTAAAAGACTCCACTATTTGTCTCAAACATCTCAACAATGTCTCAAACTGTGCTCGAATGTGCAAGAATCTCACTGACCTGCAATCAAAAGTCAGAGATCTCAGTATGAACTTAACTTTGTTCAAGACAAAATGATTTGAGCTGATATCCACATTAGTTCTATAGATTTTACAATTTGTTGTCTTGTCAGATGAATTAATGTAAGTGTTTTAATGAAATTATATTTACATTTCCGCTTTTAAATCCTCCGAAATTTGGTCCAATTTACATCTATTTTAAGTGCCTCAGCTTGATTTTGCTTTTTATGTGATTACATTTTTATTCAATTTTAAAACGTGCACATCAGTTTTGTTATATGCAAAGTAACACACATGCATATTTACGCATATATAATACAAAAAACAACCCTTCACATAAACTATATAAATGGGCAAAGCCTTAGAGAACAAATTAAAGCAAATAAAAAAATTTAAAAAATACTAATAAATAAATACATGCATGCATGCATACATACATCAAATCAGTTTGATGCTCACTGATGGGCAGTACTAAATGAAAAAAAAATATGAAAATATAGAAATAAATATGATATTTAGGCAAAATAAGTATTCAAAAGTTCTATTCAAAAGTTTACACCCCTGGCTCTTAATGCATAAAATTTTGAGCATACCAGGGTGATTATGAACATGAAATTATCCAGCCATGGCTTCCTGTTTCACAGGAATATAAATAGCCTTCTTTGATCATATTTACCAAGGGTGCCGATATTTTTGGCTATGACTGTATAACCGAGGACAAGTCTTTTTTTTTTTATATTAAACAGTATACCAGAAAACCGATTTTAGTTAATGCCATTTTTACTCAAAGCTACATAATTCCTCTGGTTGCACTGTGAGCGGTTCAAGACTTCTTTGTGCATCTGCGTGCATTTATAAACACCGCTCTGGATCAAGACCCTCTTTTCAACCTTTGCTGCTGCTTCTTCTCATAAAATAAGCTGTCACCCATTGACATTAAGTCAGTAAATCCACCCAGTGCCCTTTATCCACACTTACTCACATGACCGGTGACTAAATCTGAGCTGAATGAAAAAGATTACAGGCGCTTTACTAGTTTTAACCCCAGACATTATGTGGTTTCCATTCAAAACGATTGGTTCTAGCACAAACACGCTCCAAATAAAGGATCCTTTAGCGGACACCAGAAGAGGACACAAGGGCCTCATTGTATTTGTCCACGAATATAATACTTTGTTTTTGGAAATTTCTCTTCCAGTGAGGAATTCTTTCCGAGCTTTTTGGAATGCTGTAAATACATCAGGGACCCTCGTTCATGGGTAGTAGCTGCACCAATGTTGTCGCAATTTGTGCTGGATTGGTTTCTCAAGATGCAACGCTACAGCTGGCAGGGAGACACAGTGTTGGGAGCGCAGCATGGAAAAGTTGTAAAGTGGGTGTTGGTGCTATAAAATTGGGAAATTCTGAATGCTGGAATTGTGATGAAGCAGCTGCTTTTTTTCCTGAAACCTATAGGGATGGAAAAAGCTTTCCATTATGCATAATGCCCATGATGAGCAAATGATTGCTATAGATACAAAACATGTACATGGTGGTGAATAAACACAGATTACAAGCTCTTTACAGGCAAAGACGTATACCGACACGTGGGGCCCATCTGGGAAGTCATAAAATGTGCACAAACAACAAGCCTTGAGCGTGGAAAGTCGGGTCATTCAGACACAAAGAGGGAAGTCAAAATGACGCAGGTACTGAAGAGTCACTTTTAAAGTCAGGAAGGCAGATCTTTACAAATACAGGATGGGAAACTCCTTAGTATTGTTGGTTTTTGCATGGAAGCTCATTATTTATGTCTTCTGTCTGGTCCTCATTAGTGAACGGGCCTCACGGGCTCCTTGTACTGAGTGCTTTTGATTATCGTTGCTGTGTTTATCGGCTCTCAACCTGCTTTGCCTGCAATTCTGCGCACAGATAACAGAAATCAGATAATGGCTTTGTTTATTCGCATGCTTGCGATAACCAGGCTGCTTTCGACTTGAAGACTTTGCCTGACAGCTGAGAGAATTACAGAGCGATTTTGTGCACAGAACTGAAACGGCAGTTTTTGATTCACTAAAAAAATAGTATTTTCTACAATTACATACTGAAAACTCTTTCTGAGGGCGTTTAAGAGCTGCTTACCCTTACTGTAACCAGTTTAAACTAGTATGAATTCACTGGTGGTCCAGCCTGGTTTATGCAAATCAATATCAATCCCCCTAAGACCCACAGCAAGACTAGAACCCTTGAGACTCCTTGAGAACAACATCCAGTTAGTTTTCATCTGAAATAAAGAAAATAGTGAATTTATTAAAGCATTTGTGTTGCTTACCGAGTCTGAAAAAGTGTTGCTTACCAAGTGAAAATCCTGCATAATCATAATCTTTATTATTCTGGGAATAGAATGGAAATTCTCAATAGAAAAAGAGTAGTGTGGAGTGGAAGTGCAATGCTCTAGCAACCACTGAAAATACCCTAGCAACTGCCTAGCAACACCCTATCAACCACCTAGAACACCCTAGCAACGGCCTTGCAACCATATAGCAATGCCCTATAGCAGCCACTTAGAACACCCTAGCAACTGTCTAATGACCACACAGCACTGCCCTAGCAACTACTGAAAAAATCCTAGCAACTTACTAGCAACACACTAAACCACCCACAACATATTAACAACTGCCTAGACTAGCAATGCCCTTGCAACCACCCAGAACACCCTAGCAACTGCACAGCAACTTCCTAAAAAACACCCCGAATACCCTAGCAACCACATTGTGATCGCAACTGCCTTGCAATCACATAGCTACACAAAAGCAACCATCTCCAATGCCCTAGCAACTGCCTAGCAACCACCCACAACATCTTAGAAACTGCCTTGCAATCACATAACAACTACCCACAACACCCTAGCAACTGTCTACCAACCACATAGCAATGCCCTAGCAACCGCTGAAAAACACTAACAACTGCCTAGCAACCACCCACATCATCTTAGCAGCTGCCTCGTTTCGGTAGCCATTGACTTCAATAGTATTTTTTTTCCATTCTGTGGAAGTCAATGGCTACCAACAACTGCTTGTTTACCAACATTCTTCAAAATATCTTCTTTTGTGTTTAACGGAAGAAAGAAACTCACGCAGGTTTGAAACAACATAAGGGTGAGTAAATGATGACAGAATTTACATTTTGGGGTGAACTATCCCTTTAACTGAGAAAGCTGAGCTGTCTCCGAGGAGCTCCACTCCACTATTTCTGAGTGCCATGCCTGTACCCATCTCTCATATCCACTCACATCTAATGACTCGCAATCCAGTTCATATAAGCCCTAGTGAGATCATGTGACCAAGCAATTCCCAGACCATACTCACTTGAACAGCTATTAGCCATTTTGGCTGAGAACTCAGTCACCTATTTCTGTTTTTATCAAGCCCTTGAAATAACAGAGTATCGTTGAACCATTTGTTTTTTTTGAGTGAATACGAAAGCTGTTCATGCACATTCCAGAGCAGATTTTTCCAGGTGCACAGATGCACCTGATTTATTGGATGAACGAATCTGCTGGACACTGTAGAAATGATGACAGTCATATGAGGGTTGGGGCGCTGCATGTCTAGACTGGTTGGTTGCAGCAATGTACAACACTGTGTTGCACGATCACGTTTATATATATGAACTGCGATATCCAGTCATTCATTTTGCAATCTCTGCAAAGGTTTTGGGTTTGCCCAGTGATAGTTCAAAGGAGGAATTGCGGTTAAGGTACTGAAAATCAATTCAACGCCGCAGATGTCATATCACATCTGTTTGCTTAGTAGGTATGTAACAGTGAACACAGCTTTAGGGATCTTTAACGCTGTATGGGAAATATGCCGCATGTGGTTCATTACAGTGTTTGGCAGAAAGTTGCCTTCACTACTTCCTTATATACTTAAACTCTGTGTAAGACTTTATCTCATCTACTCACGTGACTGAAGTGACTCACGTGTGTGTCTGTCCTCATACCTGTAAGGCAAACACAATAAAATGAAACTAAGTTCATAAGTAGAGGTTATTATTAAGATCACAAACAAAAATAACAAAAATCTGCATCTGTTCCAGAAAGGACTGAAAATATCAGTTTAAGTATGTTGGGTGTAATGCATTACCAATAAGTAATTACCGTAATCTAATTACTTTTCCATCGGAAAAATCTGTGTAATTTAATTACAGTTACTTCTGATGTAATTGATGTATACTCTATAAATTATTGAACAATTCTATATAAAACAATTGTGAATTTAACATTACAACATCTAATGTTAAATGTATGTTTTTAATGTAACCTACTTTGGCCAGTTCAAGAATAATTTATGCAAATTTATGTTATTTATTTAAAAGAATTAAAAGCGCAGTTTCATGTCTACTTGTGTTGTTCAACTGGTCGAGGATGATATAGGATTTAGAAAGTAGTAATACTTTTCAGAGTCATTTGTACTGCAATTAATTACTTACAGCACAACTGTTTTCAAAAACCACAATATTGCATGGTGTATGTTAAAGTATTGCCATGGTACTATGGTTAAAAACAGTGTCAACTAAAAGGCTCTACTGAACTCCTAGTGTGTCCTGACCCAAGTGGCCAGTTCTAGTTACCCATTCAGTGTTGGGGAAAGTTACTTTTAAAAGAAATGCATTACAATATTGCGTTACTCCATAAAAAAGTAACTAATTACGTTACTTAGTTACTTTTTATGGAAAGTAATGCGTTACGTTACTTTTGCGTTACTTTTTAAATTTGGGCAGGGCTTGCTTGTTTGTTTTTAAAATAAAAAAGTGATATTTTTGGCAAATATAAAAGCCATTTCACACCAAAAGTGAAATGAATAAGCCTCAGGCTGAAGGAAAAGTAAATTTACGTCCGTACAGTAGAATGCAGAAGAAGAAATTTCAACACACTTCAGCAATAAAAAAAAGACACACAAATGTTTGTCTAGAGTAATTTTTGCTTATTAGAACGGTTGAACTGGATCATCGAAGGTCAGAAGCAAAGACATTGGTTAATAGAATGGGATTAAATACATAAAGGATATTTGTGTTGTTTAACATTTAATTATTGCAGGTTTGCGTCATATTCCGAGTT